TAGCAAGATTCTATATATTTTAGTAATTAAGCAGTGTTTTTAAGTTAATACGACTCGCCAAAGTAAAAAAATATTTCAGGTTAGGTATATATTTTTTTACTGAAAATAGCAGTTAATTTACATTATCGGATTGTTAATGTGAAAATATAAACATTAGACTGTTGACTATTCCATGTTATACGTGTTTTAAGGTCACTTTTGAAGAAGAAACTACATGTAATTTTAAAAACCGTATTTCTGTTTTTATAATGAAGGAATAGTAATTATAAGATTGTTTAAGCTTATTAACTAAAAATTATTGCCTACTCAATAAAAAAATATTATTGTCCTCGATAATCTATTACTGATTAATAAAATATTTACTCTCTTTCCTTATAAGATTGTATGTACACAAATTGGAGCCGTTCCTGAAAAATCGGACGAATATCCGGTGCAGCGGAATTATTAGACTTGAAGCGTTGGCCGCTAGAACAGCACCTGCCGGGGTCCCGTTTCGTGACTCACGCTGGGCGATATTTTTTGTACAAAATCCCGTCCTTAAGAATTGGCAGGTACAATAACTTAAAGATCAAATTGAAATTACAGTCAACCTACAAAATCAGTGCCTACTAGCACTTTATCAAGTATTGTAATATAGGTATACATTTAAAAAATATTTTTTTTGTACCTAAACCGCTCATTTAATCAAAATTCTACAAGAGGCCCAAAAACTTCCAAATGGTATCACCTATCAGATTAAAAATAGTTGTCATTATTGCCCAAAAGAGGAAAAAGTTATGAACGGATATTATCACCATACATCAATTTTGTAGGAGTTGTAGGTTTAAAAAAACACTCTGTATAACACCAAATTGTGTAGATCGAAAGCAAAAGTCCACACCCCAAAAATAATCAAAATCGATCAAATACGTATTCGAGTTATTTACAAAATTCAAAAAATTTTCACCAACTTTGAGGCCATCTAGCGACCAAACGAAGCGATTTCGGATATAGGCGAATTAGCCTAGATCTGTCTATTTTGAGTCCACGAATCTGTGGTGTTCCGCTGTACACGTTATTCTGGGACACCCTGTATATACATATAAACTAAACATATCTCACGAATCAGTTGGCGTCAGGGCTGATTCCAAAAAAGCTGAATTTTTTACAAAAAGAGCATAGCAAATATGTTGCTGAAGACATGCTTGAACGAGTTAATTCGCGTTCTACATTCATGTATGGCATCAAACGATTTTGACTGAGTTATTGGTTGGAAAAGTGTATTGCTTCAAGTCGAGCCTATTTTGAAGGAGGCAAAATAAATTTTGATAATTAATTGAATATATTGTGTCTTGTTGACACATTCAGATACTTTTTTGTCAGAATGTATAATAAATTTGTTTCCGTTTTTTGTATGCATGGGTTAGTTCAGGCAAGCGTATGCATTATATTAAATATCTTTTTTTATACACACATTTTTTTTATATAATTTTAAAAACATATTTAATGTGATATTATTAATCTACATTAAGCAAAAAATTTCTTTACATGTTTTCGAAAAAAAAAATTGTATGTTAAGTAGTTAATAGCTCGTAGGTACTGCTATAAATTGGAACACACTGCATATATAAAATTCAATCATATTAATATTAAATTACTATTGACTTACATTTTCCCATTGTTTATGTAAGTTAGATAAATAATCAAGAACTGAAATTCCTTTGGTAGTAAAAGAAATGTTCTGTTGCTGTTTATATTTATCCGCTAAATTGTAAAGCATTTTTTCTATTTGTGGGATCTGTTTGGCCAATTGGTTTCTTTCTTTTTCTTCCTTCAACAACTGACCCCCTCTATTATTATATCTATTGGGTCCTGTGTTATTTTCTTCTAATCTCATCATTTTATTCCAAAGACCCGCATGTTTTTCCAGCAGTGCCAACAGTTCCCTTAAAATGTAGATAGATTATATTATAAGAATAATCATAGTGCAATAGAAACTGACTTATTTTCTTCAAAGTACTTTTTCCATTTTAATATTTCTATCTCATGTAGTTCCAAAAGATCTTCATTATAACAGTCTGAATTGAAAAATCCAAACTGCATTCTTGTAGTATGACTACAGTGACAGTTCTCCCAAAGCTGTTTTAATTCATTACGCCGTTTATCAATAAATACCTACAAAATCATAGAGTAGTCAACAAAATGAACAATAACCATAATAGAAAAATTCTACGACAAGAAAATAGATTGAATACCTTTATATTAGCTTTCTTCAGTTCCTCGCAACGTTTAATTTCCTTCTGTAAAGCCCGTAAAACGTCAAGAGAATTACCTATATGTTTTTGCCGAAAATCTTCTCTCTCCTTCAAGTCGATATCAAGTAGATTCCAATAATCATCAATTTTGTTGTACAAATGGACAATTTCTTCTTTGACATTTTTTTGTTGTCTTGTCAAATTTTTATGAAGAAGATCGAGTTGTTTCATATTTTCGTCGGTAACAAGAAATACTGAATCATCCGATGAAAACACTTTTTTCTCAAATTGAGAAGAAGGTTCTACATTAAGTTCACTAACAATTTCAAGTAATTCTTCTTTTACTGTAGAAAATTTCTCCAGCCTATTATATTTTTCAGCTTCTAACTTTTCAACGTGTTGCTGAAATTCTTCGAGTTTTTCAGTAGAAGGTAGAGGATTGTCCATCAAAATCTTTGGTTCTTTTCCGAGCATATTGCACAATTCTAATTGCTTCTCATGTAACTTTTTTTGTTCACAGCGTCTTATTACTTCAATTCGTTTTTTATATCTACAGAAAATGCAGATTTTAAAAACAATTAAATATGTTCAAAAGGGCATATTTACATAAAGAAAGTATATACAGAGTGACCCATTTGAAAGCGGGCCGCATAACATTTTTATTTATGGAGCGATTTTGACGAATTTTTTTTTGAAATGTGGAGGGCGGAAAGGTGTATTTTGGGGCCTAGCGGTGTCTAGTATTTTTTAAAACTAAGGCCTACTAGATCACCTTCAGAGGCTGAAAAATCCAGAATCTATATTAGCGATTTTTTTAGAAAAAAATCTGCGTACTGGATTCGGCGTCCCCTGAAATGGATCTGTACCAAATTTCATAAAAAAATACTCAACATTAACGATTCTAGGGCTAAATTGCTGTCAAGTTGTTTATTATGCATCAAAAAGCTTTTTATCTAGTAACCCATGCGACAACAAATCAATCATAACAAATATTTAATAACAACATTTAATAGACATCCTTATATCAAATTACAATTAAACAAACAGAAAAACAAGCGAGAAATTAGCATATTTACAAAAAACACAATAAAATAAAATTAAATTAACACACATGAATTAACTTTAAATTCTGGATTTTTCAACTAAATCTCCATTTAATTGAATGAATATTTTTGTAAATGTTGCCTCGTCACTAAACAAAATTTAATAAATGTTAACCCAAAGTTGTTCATAATAGTGGCAACCTTTGTTTTATTTAAACATACTTTAATAACACACCTCCATAGTGATGAACAATATTCCTAATAGCAGGCTTTGCAATTACTTAAGTCGCAGATGACGAGTCACCTCAATAAAAGATGAAAATATCAAATTTATTGGCTCAGTAGTGAAATTTACGTACTGTTGTGCACTGTCAAAAAGTATGGCTGGTAATTTAACGTTACAACATAAGATTGAAATAGTAAAACTTTGTGGTGACGGAGACAGGTCCGAAAGGGAAGTATCTCGAATTTTTAATGACGGACATCCAGAACATCAAAATATTAGCAAGTCTACCGTTGGGCAAGTCAGCAATATTTTTAATGAATACGGAGCTGTATCTAAGCACATTTTAAAAAATATTAATGTACAACGGCCAAGAAGAAGCAATGAACGAATTCGAAATTATTTCACCGAAAATCCGAAAAAAGTTTAAGAATTGTTAATTTGGACCTACAGTTACCACGGGAAACAATAAGGAGAAACCTTAAAAATACAATAATATGAAGCATTTTAAAGCGAAATTTCTCCATATCTTAGAAGAAGGTGATATTGATAAACAAATGGAATATTGCTTATGGCGCCAAGGAGAATACGTTAATGACAGAAATTTTCTAAAAAAAAATTTTGTTTACTGACGAGGCAACATTTACAACCAATGGGACAGTAAATTCACATAACACGAGGCATTGGGCACAAAAAAAAACCGAATGGGTAATAAACTGTAGGCGACAGTATTCACAAAAAGTAAATGTTTCAATTAGATGGCTGTCCTATCCACAATGCCAGGACTGTGAGAGCGTGGCTGGAGGAAAATTTTCCTAATCGGTGGATAGGGCGAAATAGTAGATTAATGGAGTTTCCTCCCATGGTTCCCGACTTAAGTACCCTAGATTTTTTTCTATGGGAGTTTATTAAAGAAAAAGTTTATTACACTCGTCCAACCAACGCAAAAGAACTGCGCGAAAGAATAAGACAGGCATGCGTTGACATTACACCACATCAATTGTCTAATGTCATGGCATACATTGAAAGACGATACAATAAATGCATTCAATTAAATGGAGATTTAGTTGAGAAATCCAGACTTTAAAGTTAATTCATGTGTGTTAATTTTATTTTATTGTGTTTTTTGTAAATTTTATGTTAATTTCTCGTTTGTTTTTCTGTTTGTTTTATTGCATTTTGATACAAGGATGTCTATCTATTAAATGCTGTTATTAAATATTTGCTGTGACTGATTTGTTATCGCATGGGTTACTAGATAAAAAACTTCTTAATGCATAATAAACAACTTGACAGCAATTTAGCCGTAGAATCGTTAATGTTGAATATTTATTCATGAAATTTGGTACAGATCCATTTCAGGGGACGCCGAATCCAGTACGCAGATTTTTTTCTAAAAAAATCGCTAATATAGATTCTGGATTTTTCAGCCTCTGAATGTGATCTAGTAGGCTTTAGTTTTAAAAAATACTGGACGCCGCTTTGCCCCAAAATACACCTTTCCGCTCTCCACATTTTAAAAAAAATTTCGTCAAAATCGCTCCATAAATAAAAATGTTATGAGAGTGGCCCTCTTTCAAATGGGTCACTCTGTAAGTATGAAAGTATTTATCCACAACCAAAAAAAGTAATGTGCCATGCTTTGTTAGAAGAATTAAAAATAATCATGAAATATTCAAATATGTGACTTACTCATTGATGTGTTTCTTTAACTCTTGATGTTCTTGATGTAAACTAAGTTTTTGGGTGGTATCACCTAATACTGGCATACTAATTTGAAGTGTATAACATAATTCTTCAAATTCTTTTTGCAGTTCTTTAATTTTTAACAGAACCTTACTCTGGAGTAGCTCCATATCAGAAACAAGTACACAACAGGTTCCTTCAAAAGTTTTTATAAAAATGGTCACCCATGACTTTACAATGTCTTCGCTTTCGCCCATATTTAGAACCATTTCACACCAATATAAAATAGTTTTACTTAGACCATCTTCTAGTACATTCCGCATTTCTTCAGCCCACGGAATTCCCTTAATACTGTGAATAAAAATGAAAACATTACCTCAGTGATATAAACAGTTTCAATACTATTCATTAAATTTCTAATTGATTTTTTTTATTTTATATGTTGTATGTAAGAATAAACATTACTTATAAAATCGTGTGGTATTCTATAGAATCATAATAATGAAAAAGTATGTTATAAGCCTGCCATACGTCCCGTAAAATACGAGACAGTCCCTTATTTCGAGATATATGTCCAGCATCCCCAAATCTTTTGTAGGGATTTACAAAAGATTTTGTTAGAGTAGCTATTCTGCAGTATTTTCAATAAAAAATTAAAATGAAATAAATCTCATCTCTACAGGGTGTCTCATAATTAGCTGCCAACCCTGAACAGGCCGATTCTATGATCAAAACTAAGTAAAAAAGTTCATATGAACATGAGTCCGGAAATGCTTCCTAAGGGCACAGGGACCCATTGAAGAGGGAGGAATGGAAATCATTTTTTTGCAATATCTCTCAATCGCGTTGTGATAAATGAATGAAATTTGGTATACACAGCTAAATTTTGATGAGCAATTTGATGGACTAATCCATTTATTTCCACAAGGTCCATTGGGGTGGGTACGGGGGGGCCCTTGGTACTTTGCGTGTGTAACTTTTTCATCTTTGACTTTTTAACAAATTGGACAGCAAATTCCGTTTTCCCGAACTGTTTTACGTTAAAAAGGTACTCTTGTTTCAAATCGTTATCTTTAACGGTTTCTGAGAAAATCGCTCTTGAATTAATCCCACTTTGGTCAATTTCATAGTAATTTAAACAAAAAAAAATAATAATAATTTTCCTTTCCTCTCTTTTCCATTTAAAGGATTAATTTTTATTTAATTTAATTTTTTATTATTATTTTTTTATTAAAATTAGATTAAATTTAAACAAAAAAATTTTTTTTGTTTAAATTACTATGAAATTGACCAAAGTGGGATTAATTCAAGAGCGATTTTCTCAGAAACCGTTAAAGATAACGATTTGAAACAAGAGTACCTTTTTAACGTAAAACAGTTCGGGAAAACGGAATTTGCTGTCCAATTTGTTAAAAAGTCAAAGATGAAAAAGTTACACACGCAAAGTACCAAGGGCCCCCCCGTACCCACCCCAATGGACCTTGTGGAAATAAATGGATTAGTCCATCAAATTGCTCATCAAAATTTAGCTGTGTATACCAAATTTCATTCATTTATCACAACGCGATTGAGAGATATTGCAAAAAAATGATTTCCATTCCTCCCTCTTCAATGGGTCCCTGTGCCCTTAGGAAGCATTTCCGGACCCATGTTCATATGAACTTTTTTACTTAGTTTTGATCATAGAATCGGCCTGTTCAGGGTTGGCAGCTAATTATGAGACACCCTGTATAGTCAAACATGTTCAAAGAAAAAAATATGTCTCGTACTATTTTATACAAAGTTGTAGAATTTCTACTTTGACTTCCAGGTTCTAATGCTGGAATAGAAAGACTTTTTTCTAAAATGAACTTTTATTGGAGGACAAGAAAACCAATATATTGGAAAGTACGGTAGGCAACGCTTTAATACTGCAATATAATTTAAATATAACCTGTTCAGAGATTAATGCTAGACAAAAATTTATCTGAAAAAAATTCACAAAAGTGACAATAGTAAGACAGATTCTAATTAAAATTTTTATTCGTCAACTTCTGATTTTGTAACGTTTTTGTAAACGTTAGTTCCTCCAAGTTCCTTTTAAGTGCCTAAAAAACCAAAGAATGTTATTTTAGTTTAAACTTAATAAATATATCTTTAAAAACTTTTTTTTGAAGTTTATTCGTCGCCCTAAAAACTATAGTCCAATCAATTTTTCACGTATTTTGTTTTCTATTTTTTCGTTACCAGATTCCAGAAAAGAATCCTCTAAGATGTTCCGTATTTTACAAAAAATATGGTAGGCTTCTGTATGTATATTGCTTTGCTGTAAAGTCGAAAATAAAGCTGATATGTTAAACAACACTATTAATTAAATTTTACAACTTTTAGCTGCCTGTCTTTTAGAAACAGAATTATCTTAATATTTAATTTTACAAGATATACATTTTTGTAATTCTATCACTAGTGGCGACATGAGGATTTATATATGCGATACATTATGTAAACTATGAAATATAATTTTGATAAAAGGAATGTACTTATATATTTAAATATAAAGTTCTAAGAATCCTCTGGAATGAATAACTTACATATTTGCATTCACCGCAGGCAAATCCATGAATTTTTCTTTTTGACACTCCATCCTTCAACTAACTGAAACAAATGTCTTGTCTAAACACTTGCACTAAAAAAATCGGTCTCAAATATCAGTTGAAAAACCAACACAAGAAAGAAAACGGCCAGACAAAAAGTTGAAAACGACATTTAAGAGAGCGATTTCTGCCACCAAGGATATTTTGGCGCTAACATCACTTAAAATTATTAAATTGAAATATATACACTGAGAAAATGACCAGCAAAGAATTCTTTACTACGTGTTTTTTGCTCTTGTAGTAAATTTTTTCATTAGAACTGCAAATTCACTTTGTTGTGGCAAAAGAAATTTGTTTTCTAAATGTACTTTACTATTACTTGATTTTTTTTTTGCTGTGGGTAATTATGTTACTCTGCTGCGGTTTGAATGTGTATCTTTAATAAATATGTTTTACAACAATTAAAAATTATATTATTGTAATAGCAGATTACTTTACTGTGACTTCAAATATAATTTTATAAATATATTTCTAATAAGAGTTATAAATATGTGTTCAATCCTAAAGGAAAAGTAAAGAAAAATTTTACTACTGCCGAAAGTTACATTTTAAAGGATCATACTATTTATTAGCAGAACCAATCGCAGGCTACCGTATGCGCGTGCGCGCTGTGCTCATTTGATTTGGAATCGCGACATCACGACCGATTCGCTGTGATCAGTGTTGCCAACTAAGGGAATTTATCTCTGAATCTAGGGATTTTTTCTGCTATTTAGGGATAAGGGAATCCGTTTCTAAAATCAGTGAAATCTAGGGATTTTTTAATAATTTGATGTCCCGTTATTGTAAGAAGAAGAAGAGGCAATTCCGTCGTTATTTTCTATGGTTACTGTAATCTTTAGGTTTTAATTACTTTTGAGGTTATTATTTTCGCGATTTTTATATTTAAACAAGAACAAGATAATAGTGTTGTTTTTATGTTAATTTAGTGTTATTGACTTTTAAGGATTATAATTTCTGAATTAAAAAAATGTCTTGTTAGAAGCTGCAAAAATGATAAACGATTTTTACACGCACATTCAGAAGTTACTTTTCACCGGTATGTTTCACATTCTTATATATTTTGTTTGCTTTTTATACTGAAGTTATGTTTTTTTCTATAGATTTCTTAAAAATGATAAAAGATATCGTCAATGGCTTGGAATGGGATGAAAGCATTACATGGTCAAAAACTATGTTTATTTGTTGGGATCATTTTGACAAAGATGATATTATGAACACTGGTACTCTGACACTCTTAAAAGAAGAGGCCATTCCTTGTATTTAAGAGAGTAGCGACGAAATTAAACCTTTACCGTCAACTTCAAAAAGTACTGGACCTCTGCCGTCAGCCTCAAAAGTCTCTGAAGTTTCACCACCCAGTGCCCAGTGTAAAAGTGCCCCAATCTTTGCAAGCAATATTACTACCTATGATTGCTAATAATACATGTTATTTTACTCTCTTTTTATTTTACTTTATTCAAACTCCAAACTTACCTATTAATTAAAATAAAGAAAATATTTAATAGTCTTAATGTTTAGTCGCCTTTGAACTTCGCCTTTTGGGTACACCAGATTTTTTTTCTGTATAATTTGTACTACTAATTTTGTAATTTAATCTCTGGTTATAGCTAATAAAATCAATTAATTAATATATTAATAATTTTTATTAAATCTACACAACGATTATTGACAAGTTTAGAAAAAAGTTGATAAATTAATGTTTCCTCGCAAAGTTATGTGACCATTACAGCTTTCTTGCAAACTGACTAAAAACTTTTACAATTTTACGGTTTCATTTGTAAATGACAGCAATGTAGCAGCAATTTTATTTTGCTTAGTTGACACATATTTAAACTCTGATTTCAGTTCTTAAATAGTTTTAATCTAAAATTCCAAGTTTGATAAATACATATCTTACATTTGTATTTGCCGCCCACAAAATTTTCGGGTAGTTTAGTGTTTCCACACTAAATAAATTTTGAGTTGGCAATGAGTAGATAAAAATGGCAGCCTCCTATGTTGCACTCATGGAGACTATACAAGGAGCCCAAACTCCATGTAAACAGAATTCTTACAAAAATAAGAGGGCGCTAGTGTTCCATATGTCCCATAGGTAGAGAGGGGAGATAAAAAAGCGGCAGTTTGAATTATAAATCAGTCATGTCATTTTTGTGATGTGTTAAAAATTTTAAAATAAATGTAAGCTACTTTGAATTATATAAATCATGAAAATATGTCATTCCGGACTGTAATTAAACTAAATAGATAATAAAAAATATTAGCTTTATGAGAAGAATTTGGTGTTCGTAGAAAGAAACTAGTTTTCAAGGAATTTATGACGTGATCTTGTTAATATTAACCTATAAGTAAGGTTTATGTTTTTGATAATTACTTTGTTAAAGATTTTAATTTAATGTTAGTGAAAGTCACATTTTATACAGGAAGTTGCCTTTAAAAAAATAGTAATTCTTGTATTAATAATATGGAATTTTTACTTGTGGTAATAAAAAATAGAATATAAAAAAACTCGCCGTTTTCAATAAACTTTTTAAAATATTACAGATGTCCGATTTTGAGTCCATCAGTGATCCGATGACTAAGAAACAGAAAGAGTAAAAAATAAAAAATAAGAACTACTTTGAAATTACTGTATACCTGGATATAGTGGCCAAGTTTTTTTAACATTTCCGTGTTAGCATATGGGAAGTAGCTAACAGATTTGAAGAAAAATTTGCCATTTCTAATTATTTCACCCATGATTCTGGTAAATTTTGCATTGCCTTAAGCTCTACAACAACCAGAAAAGTTACATACTTGCTAAGTAACTTGTCTCCATAAATTATAGAATGGCCGAGATAATGAGGCAGTTGTAATCGAACAATATTTTGCCCAATATGAATTTCCAGAGCAGGTTATAGGAATAATTGATGGGAAAGGAATTCATATAAGATAGAGTATATCACAATCCATATTTTTTTTGAATAACCAATAATATACTATATTATAGTGTAACTGAAAACTGACTATGGAAAGTCGATAAATTATGGTTGGACAATTTCTAAGCTGATTGCCATGTTGTCGGTTTAGACTTCTCAATGCTTCGAGAGTCATATCGCTCTCTTCTCAAAATGTCAAGAAGCTTAAAACAACATAACCAATTGATACCAAAATTTTAACAAAATATAGGTACTCCATTATAAAGGTCACAAAAACTAGGTAATCTAAATATTTTATAACTGTTTAAAATCGATTAGTTTTCTGGGTATATATTTTAAAATTGCTGTAAAATTTAATTCTACTTTCGTAAAATTGTTGATTTAATTCGAACGTAACATGGTTCCATGACTTATTTCAAAGTAGAGTATAGACCAAAATTAATAAGGTATTATAAAGAAATATTTTAGCAATGTTCTATATTTTTGTTACATATTTTGTAAAAATAAAATGTTTATCTACCAAAGATTTCAATGTTTTATTAATTGAATCAAAAAAACGAAATTATTTGTGCCTAATTAAAATAAAATAAATATTTATTCATAACAAACAAGTAACAAAGTAAATATATATTACAAATAAAACAACTTAAAAATAAGTAATACGTGTCAGTCTATCTTCTTAAAATTTCATTTTGTTCATGAAGCAATTGATTTCCATGTTTAAATATTTAGTAAAAGTAGTCAATTACCAATACAGATCGATCAGCATCAATTACTACACGTATCCTCTCTTTAAATTTTATATGATATCTGAATTTCAATCAGTTTTTTACTAACAGGAAAGAAACAGCAACTAATTGGAAATGATTTATTCAATTCAGTAATGATAATAGCGATGTCACCAGCAAGAATTATATGAAAGATACGAATTTAATTATTTATGCACGTAATATAAATTACAAGAATATGTAGAAATAAATAAAGTATACTTTGTTGCTATTGTCAATATTATGTGAACATATTCATAGTTGCTTTGTCGAGACCTCATCACACGTCAACAGAACTTTTCTTTTATTAGATTATACAGGACAGGATGCTCACTTTCTAGTATAATCTCATCGTAACTTAATTGCTCTTGATTTACTTGCTGTTCTTGTTGTTGTTGTTGTTGTTGTTGTTGTAACTGTTGCTCTTGTTGTAGCTGCTGCACCTGTTGTTGCTGGTGTAGCGGATGCTCTTGCTGTTGATGCTGCTGCAAAATATATAAAGAAACAATGCATCATTCAATTATACAATATTTTCACTTATGAAATCTTTCTATTTAAAAATTTCTCTACCGTATTAAGAATCAAAGAAGCTGCTTCCAACTTCCGAATTATTCGACCTTTTGCCATAATATTAACCCACTATTCGGTCAAGTTGTAATATAGAACAGCTGGACTTCATTAGATTGAAAATGCAAATCACAAACGTACTGTTTTATTTTAAATCTGTTGACAGTCATTCACTTCACATACTATTACCATATTTAAATTATTTTCGAAACTTTCTATTTACCATTCATAAAAACAAATTGTAATAATTATTGACTTCTAGTTTTTAGGTTTAGTATACCTCCCCGCTACCCAATATATCTACTAAACTCGATATAAATAAAATAAAATTGGTTATTTGCTTACTTCACTCGTATTTATGAAGCTACATTCATTTGGGTCATATGGAACACTAGCGCCACCCCAACTTCTGCCATTTCTAGGACAAATTTTGTCAATTTTTCCGTATGAGTTCGTGCTCCTTATCTAGTCTCCATGGCAAATACTCTCAATGATCATTGACAGTATTTGCTCATAGCTTACCGAGACCAAGCGCTTACAAAGGTCTATGTCTATGGTTTATCTCAAAGGTATCTTTTATATATAAAAGACTAAATATCTATTTTATAACTAATTTATTTATTTTTGTTTTAGTTTTGCGAGGTTTATATAATAATATGGCAAGGGTTTTATATTATTTTTTCTTTATTTTATGGTTGTGCTACCTAATAGTGTCTTCAATATTTTTATTTACACAAGGCTTTTTGCTGACTAGAGTTGTGCAGAATAATAATGCCTCATGTTTACCCCTTAACGACGTGATATGCACACCAATACTAAATTTCAACATAAAAAATGACAGTGAGGAATCCTGTTCTCAAGGTGATAAGATTTCCACCGTTTTGAAGAACTATGAGACGACTACTACTACGATATGTTTACCTGCAAGGGCAAAAGTTGTATTACTTATTGTAGATGCATTGCGATACGATTTTACTATTTTTAATGAAAAAAATAAATATCCTTTGCCATTTCAAAACAAACTACCTGTTATTGACAAACTGTGCAAGAAATATCCAGATTATACACGGCTGTATAAGTTTATAGCAGATCCACCAACTACAACAATGCAAAGGATAAAGGGGCTCACTACAGGCAGTTTTCCAACTTTCATAGATGCAGGTTCAAACTTTGCAACAATGGAAATTAGTGAAGATAATATTATAGATCAGGTAATTTAATTGCATAATTTTATTTTTATTTAAATATATCACTAATGGTTGGTTTATAAAAAAGTATGGTAATTATTTACTTTAGTGGCACCACCTCCAATTTTCACAAAATTTTGTCTACCCCCCTATTTTCGATGGTGCTGAACACGAATCTGAATTTTTTTTTGTGCAGTCGAACCTAGTTTTTGAGAAAAAAATTTTTCAAAATTCTAACCTGAATATTTCAGATAACAATACGTAGAACTCTGTATATTTTATGTAACTTTCAGAACATCTGTAATAAACAATGAACATTGTTTAAGAAACGCATTTTCCCAAATTTGAACTAAAAAAAATATGTATTTAATAAATAAAATTACAGTAACTTTATGTGGGATGAACAGAGTTGAATGAGAGTGGGGGAACTCAATGTTGTCATCACGAATTACAAATGGCGGATTCAAACTACAAAATTTTTATTTATTAAATACATATCTTTTTACTTGAAATTTACGAAAATGTGTTTCGTGAACAGTGTTAATTGTTCATAACAGATGTTCTGGAAAGCTACATAAAATATACAGAGTTCTACGTAGTGTTATCTGAAATATCCAGGTTAGAATTTTGAAAAATTTTTTTCTCGAAAACTAGGTTCGACCGCACAAAAAAAACTGCAGATTCGTGTTCAACATCATCGAAAATAGGGGGGTAGACAAAATTTCGCGAAAATTGGAGGTGGTGCCACTAAAGTAAATAATTACCAAAAGTATTAGTCCTAACTTAACCTTAATCTTAGTCCTAAAAAGTAGTGATGGGAGATTTCGAGTGAAAAATCGAGTGGTACTCGATTATTGAGATCACTCGAGATATCTCGAGATGTTTACTCCCACCACTCGAGTGATTATTACCCTACGGTTGCACCCCAAAATGTTAATGCATACTGCAAATAGTCACTGAGTACGTAACCTTTTTTTTAGAATAAAACGAAAAAGTGGTTGATCACTCGATTATTAGAAGTACTCGATTACCGCTAACTCGATTATCAAAATTGGTCGATTATGCCCATCACTACTAAAAAGTTAAATGTACAAAATATACGTATAGAACTAGGGCAAGATAAGATTTTTATAAACCAGTACATTACATTCTGTACATTTAACTTTTTAGGGCTAAGATTAAGGTTAAGTTACGGCTAAGTTAGGACTAATACTTTTTTATAAACCAACCATAAATTAGTAAAAAAATCGCAGTTCAGGATCTGTTTTTAATTTTTGTGACAAGTGATAATCATAGATTTGACAGTATACTATAGATGGACTCAAAGTCAACTTTCTATGCATTATAGCTGTTCCAACATGAAAAGTATCAGCAATTTGCCCATGGAGACTACACAAGGAGCCCGAACTCCATGTAAACAAAAATCTTACAAAAATAAGAGGGCGCTAGTGTTCCATATGTCCCATATGTAGAGAGGGGAGATAAAAAAGCGGCAGTTTGAATTATAAATCAATCATGTCATTTTTGTGATGTATTAAAAATTTTTAAATAAATAATGTAAGCTACTTTGAATTATATAAATCATGAAAATATTTTATTCCGGACTGTAATTAAACTAAATAGTTAATAAAAAATATTAGCTTTATGAGAAGAATTTGGTGTTCGTAGAAAGAAACTAGTTTTCAATGAATTTATGACGTGATCTTGTTAATATTAACCTATAAGTAAGGTTTATGTTTTTGATAATTACTTTCTTAAAGATTTTAGTTTAATGTTAGTAAAAAATAGTCACATTTTATACAGGAAGTTGCCTTTAAAAAAATAGTAATTCTTGTATTAATAATATGGAATTTTTACTTGTGGTAATAAAAAATAGAATATAAAAAAACTCGGTGTCTTAAATAAACTTTTTAAAATATTACAGATGTCCGATTTTGAGTCCAGTGATTCAGATGACTTATTAGACGCATTGTCCAGCTTGAGTGATGATGAAATAGATTTATTCTAAGAAACAGAAAGAGTAAAAAATAAGAACTACTTTGAAATTACTGTACCTGAATATAGTGGCCAAGTTTTTTTAACATTTCCGTGTTAGCATATGGGAAGTAGCTAACAGAATTGAAGAAAAATTTGCCATTTCTAATTATTTCACCCATGATTCTGGTAAATTTTGCATTGCCTTAAGCTCTACAACAACCAGAAAAGTTACATACTTGCTAAGTAACTTGTCTCCATAAATTATAGAATGGCCGAGATAATGAGGCAGTTGTAATCGAACAATATTTTGCCCAATATGAATTTCCAGAGCAGGTTATAGGAATAATTGATGGGAAAGGAATTCATATAAGATAGAGTATATCACAATCCATATTTTTTTTGAATAACCAATAATATACTATATTATAGTGTAACTGAAAACTGACTATGGAAAGTCGATAAATTATGGTTGGACAATTTCTAAGCTGATTGCCATGTTGTCGGTTTAGACTTCTCAATGCTTCGAGAGTCATATCGCTCTCTTCTCAAAATGTCAAGAAGCTTAAAACAACATGACAACCAATTGATACCAAAATTGTAACAAAATATAGGTACTCCATTATAAAGGTCACAAAAAATAGGTAATCTAAATATTTTATAACTATTTAAAATCGATTAGTTTTCTGGCTATATATTTTAAAATTGCTTTAAAATTTAATTCTACTTTCGTAAAATTGTTTATTTAATTCGAATGTAACATGGTTCCATGACTTATTCCAAGGTATAAAGTATAGACCAAAATTAATAAGGTATTATAAAGAAATATTTTAGCAATGTTCTATACAGGGTGTTCCCAGTTCGGGTTGCCTGTACTTGAAATGGATACAAAATTTCAATTGTCAAAAAAAATCATTCTTCATAAAAATTTTTGCTTGTCCAGAAGCTCTTGACAAGATAGTCATTTGTTCAATTTAATGTACAGGGTCTTCATAAATTTGGAAAAAGTAAAAACAGTAAAGAGTAAAGTATCTTAAATCTTAACGTTACGTGAAAAAGTAATGGGGAAAAGTTGCTTAGAATTAAATTTTATGTTTAAATATGAAAGCATGGCCTTCTAGTTAATACTCGACATTCTGGGATATTCTAGGACTCTACTTATTTTTTAATACTTTCGGAGAAGCCATTCTATTTAAAAAATATTGCTTTATTGAAAAACAGATACTCAAGTTTGCATATTAATAATTTATTTTTTATACAGAGGGATCAAAAATGAGAAAACTAATTCGAAAATTTGAGTTAACTGGTGATGTAAAAACGTAAAAAGGTCAAAAAAGAGACACGATGACGATGCTGCAGCCATAATACTATAGTTTTGAATTTGGTAGAAGAAAACCCGAGACTGTCACTAAGGAAGATAACTAAACAAATCGATGTTAGCAAGACACATATTCAGAGGATTTTGGTAGAAAATTATTTTAAGGCTTTCAAAGCAAAAGTAATTCACACTCGAGAAGTTGATGATGATGCACATCGTTTGGAGTTCTATTTAGAGATAGGAGAAAGGATTGTGGTAGAGACATTTTCACAAAAATATAATATTTCCGATGAAACCACTTTTTCTACTAATGGAGTGGTATCCTTGCAAAATTGTCGTTTTTGGTCGCAAGACAGTTACAGTTACTTTAAGAAGTCAAAGGTTCAATAAAGTAAATGTTTGGTGCGCGATTACTTTCAACCGAATAATTGGGCCATACTTTTTGAAGCAAATTTAAATCAATATACATACCTGGAGATGCTAGACACGTTTTTTTGGCCAGAATTAGAAGAAGAACATTTGGAATATAGACAAAAAGCGTATTTCCAACAAGACGGATGTCCCGCTCACTCAACAATTCTAGTCCGCAATTGGCTTAACAGAAAATTTCGAGAGAAGAGGATAGGTAGATATGGTGCTATTTGTTGGCCAGCAAGGTCCCCTGACTTGTCCCCGCTTGATTATTTTAAGCAGGATAATTGAAGCTGCTGCCCAAGTAAATGAAGAAATGATACATTCGACCTACGCTGCATTTAGAAAAAGATTGGAGAGGTGTGTTGAACTTGGTGGACTTCATGTAGAATAGTTTTTTAATGGCGCGTACATACTGATTCAGCTGTGGATTAATGGATTAATGTTTTTGAGGCTTTTGATCCCCCAGTATGAAAAATACATTATTAATATGCAAACTTGTGTATCTGTTTTTCAATAAAGCAACATTTTTTAAATAGAATGGCTTCTCCAAAAGTATTAAAAAATAAGTAGAGTCCTAAAATATCCCAGAATGTCCAGTATTAACTAGAAGGCCATGCTTTCATATTTAAACATAAAATTTATTTCCAAGCAACTTTTCCCCATTACTTTTTCACGTAGCTTTTAGATTTAAGGTACTTTACTCTTTACTGTTTTTACCTTTTCCAAATTTTTGAAGACCCTGTACATTAAATTGAATAAATGACTATCTTGGGGGTTTCTGGACAAGCAAACATTTTTATGAAGAATGATTTTTTTTGACAATTGAAATTTTGTATCCATTTCAGGTATAGGCAACCCGAACTGGGGACACCCTGTATTTTTGTTATATATTTTGTAAAAATAAAATGTCTTATCTACCAAAGATTTCAATGTTTTATTAATTGAATCAAAACGAAATTATTTGTGCCTAATTAAAATAAAATAAATATTTATTCATAACAAACAAGTAACAAATTGGAAATGATTTATTCAATTCAGTAATGATAATAACGATGTCACCAGCAAGAATTATGTGAAAGATACGAATTTAATTATTTATTCACGTAATATAAATAACAAGAATATGTAGAAATAAATAAAGTATACTTTGTTGCTATTGTCAATATTATGTGAACATATTCATCGTTGCTTTGTCGAGACCTCATCACACGTCAACAGAACTTTTCTTTTATTAGATTATACAGGACAGGATGCTCAGTTTCTAGTATAGTCTCATCGTAACTTAATTGCTCGATTTACTTGCTGTTCTTGTTGTTGT